CGCCTTGCAGCTTTGCTGGTTTTTTTTTTTTTTTTTTTTTTTTTTTTTCGAGACAAATGAGGAAGCGGAGTAAGGTAGTACGGATTCGAATTTATTGAGTAAATGTGAGACTTTTTCAGGGGAACCTGAGTTGCTTTTATGAATTTAAACATCAGTGCCATGTACAGCTGCCGGATGCCCCAGCCACCAGCCCTACCAATCAACCTGCAACTTAACACCTTAACAGTACCTGTTCGTATGTCACCCTCGATAACTGTACCGCCATTTCTAAGCTCGGTACCACCAATTTTGCCTCCGCCTTCCTACCAGCTAATGTGCTCAAACAGTAAAGCTGATGAAGCTGACGTAGATGTTGTTGGTATCACGGACGCGCCATGCAGTGTGCACCTCGATAATGGTGATGAAGATGAGGAAGAGGTAGTGGAGGAAGAGGAGGATGACCAGGACGATAAGGTTAGTTAACCCACAGCATCATCCTCCACCCCTTTGTTATTAATTCGATAAAGTCAATATGAACATGTAAATTTCAGCCATTGGATCTATCTATAAAAAAGAAAGAAATATGCTGTGCTCCGTCCAGCTCTTCTGTCCTTATTCCGCCACCCAACAGACCAACAGTTATAAAAAATGGCTATGGTAAGTAGCATACGAAATTATCGCATTTTCAACAGTTCTAAATTTCTATTTAAATCGTATCTAACTCTTGTGCAGCTCAGAACCGAAAAGTCTTGCACAGCATGCCTATATCATTACTAACATGGGTCCGCATCGCAATTGTCCGGACAATTTTGGTATTCTTGGTACTGGTCCTCGTTTTTTGGCTACCCTCACAAAATTGTGCCAGATTGTTCCTTTTTTTCCTTCAGCCGTTCAAGCAGTGGAAAACAGATGTGAGGCGACTTTTCCTCATCCGGCTAGCAATTTGATATCACTTCGAAATCTCATTTTCGTTTAACGATACTTCTTTGAAGCGTTTCAGATTTTATCATTTCAGCCTTGTAAATTCGATTCTTGTTTTTAGCTTCTTCTTTTTCAACAAAATTACGTTTGGTTGTTAAGAATCAAATTTAAAGCGTAATTTTATGAGCCATTCTACAAATTCTTTTATATTCTATTTTCTTCCAAACAGAGCGCGAGTATATTTTTGTGTGGTGAATGTGCATGTCCTATGCATGCATGGTATATTTAGAAATACGCAAATTGAAATTCTAATACCTCAGTCTTAATCTTCCTTCTTACGCACAAGGAAAAGTTTTCATTTCTACCCCAAACTGCAGAATTCGGGAGGGCGGAAGAGTACAGTGCTCTGCCTCGATCAAACAGGTGCCACGGGGACAGCGAAAGAACAGGAAAGTGTGAAACAGTTCATGTGATGGAAAAAAAAATTGCAAACAGTGAATCAGGGAGTGCAAAATTTGGTTGGGGGTTAAACTGTCGGGTGCAAAAAATCACAGTATTTCCGTAAATCGGCATTAACTTGTATCAAAAGTGTAAACTGCGTTAAAAAGTGGCGTAATTGATAAGTCGTTCGTCGTTCTTGGCGCAAAGTGAGTGGTTGCACTAACACTTCCAAAAGATGGTTGTATTTGGCGATCTTGTGGTCTTCTGCCTCCTTTCTGCAGTATACTATAATTGACACTTAAAACGGCTACTGATTGATCCAGGGGCACTGGTGAGCGTTCCCTGCAATATTAAACACCAAAATCCATTTCTGCGGCTTTCTGCTTGTAATGTCAATCTTTATTTGGATGTAAATAACGGCAAACTTCTCGTTAAACTACTGATTTACCTTTCTAACCTCCCTCTTTACCTCACGTATGTATCCTGATTCCAATTCAGACGTTATGCAAAAACTATGAATATGCAAATTGCTCAGATCTAAAACTGTGATAAAATGGTTTGACGATTTTTGCTTTTTTCAAAGTGAATATATTTAGCAGCGATGCGGAGCGCTATAAAGCTGATATAATCTGCACTGCATAATTTATTCAGATTTGCGATTTTTTTCAGAAAGCCTGAAAAACGAGCGCTCTTACTGTTAGCCTGTATCTCCCCCTAAAGTGATGTCATATTAACAGTTTCAGTTTTCGACTGAAATTCCCTGCTTTCTGAGCTGCTTTTTTTTTCTTTCGATGTTTTTTCACATTTTTTTTTCTTTTTTTTTTTGCAAGTTGTTGTGCAACATGAATATGTCCATGTTCTGTCGGCATGATGTCTGTCGAGGCGCCGATGACGACCACAACTGCGAAGCTTTTATATGTGTAATAAAATATGCAGCGATGGATGCTTTTTAAAATTCACTGATCAGATGATTGTGGTGATAATAATGATATCGCCATGCACACCACATTCCTTCCCACTTTTTAATCCCTTTTTTCAAAAGAAAAAAAAAAGAGACAGCGATAAACCGATCGACACAAACAGCAAAACAAAAATACCATATCTTTCCCCTTCCTTTCTCCACCGTCCCCTCCCTCACCTGGTCCCCTTCCCGCTCCAGGACTTTTTGTCTTGTTCTGCAAACACTCCCTCCTTTTTACTCCTGCTTCCACTTGCCGTTTATTCTCTTGGCAGCTGTGATTTATTCTAAAATCTGTATGAATTCATGACTGGTGAGAAATTGGCCGAGGAGTATTCTGTTGGTCCATGTAGTTGCTCTCTTTCCCAGTGGTGTAGCAAACAAAAATTTGTCCATGGTAGAGACTAGGAACGCTTAAACGCTAGCTCGATTTCCCTGGGAAACATGCATAAGTTATCCAGTTTTGCCCAGGGTCACAGAGGTTTTGCTCGTACTAGAGCCGCGTCAGACGTGAATGAGTGAATCAAAATCATATTCTGAAACCATAATTTGAGTGAATAAATACAATGTGAAGTTTCAGTACGAAGCAATGTTGATATGCGGCGGTCCGCCTCATCCGTGATTTCACGACCGACGCCGGAGCCGGATGTCTCCGAACATTTTCGACGATCACTGAGCGGTAAATGGCCACGACGACAGACAAATTTTATTCACTACACTCCGCTGTTTCAAAGCAACACTGATAAAAAAGTTACCTGTACGTTTGGTTTTTACAGTGCCTGCATTTTTCAGTAGTTCAGTTTAGCTGCCCAACAGAGAGTGAATAAATGATGAAAATTCCATAAATGCGTTTCTGTTTATTGCGAAAAAAAGTCATTTGTAGGGTCTCTGCTGCATCGTAAGAACAGTCAGACGATCGGACTACGACAAACGCCGACGTGTAGTGCAAGTCCGTTGCAAAAAATCATTGTCAATAATTCTGGAGTTGAAAGTAAGCTTTGAACAACATTTCTGGATTTTTTGAAAGCTTCATCTTGCAGCCTACGGGGGTTTGTTTGTATTTCTTTGCAGCACTCAAACTGTGGTAGGCGAAAATAACGAAGAATGAGCAGCGAAGATATATGTAGAGTGTTAGCCAACTACTGACTGCATATGCTTGGCTCGTTCTTAGATATACCACCGTGGTGCTCTTTTTAATACAGGAGGCAACCACTGGATGTTGCGGAGATGTAAACATATTACTCCGGTTGTTGGAAGAAGGCAACCCAGTATAGTAGCTCCCGAGAAAATGATATGGAGGAGATGAAGTGAAAGTCCGAAAAATCTATGTGACGGACATCGACCAAAAGTATATAAAGCCCTTCGCGAAGTTTCTTTAGTGCTGCGCCGTGTTTTAGATAATCAAAGTGAGACGTGCCCTGTACTAAACTTCATCAAAATTGTTTCATTTTAGTAAATGCGCTATGATTTTCAGTAGAAGATCATTTCCGAAAAGCACTTGGAGAAGAGGCGTATGAGCAACTGCGACGAAGTCGTCAAGCTTTTTGACGATTACGCAGTCATCACTATCGTTAACGCTGTGTTACGTATTGGCTGGGCCCGTTTGCTGTGCAGTTTGCACATCAGTGAAAAATTATTGTTTTTGTAATCATACCCTTACGCATATCTCAATAGCTGTGAAATTTATACAGTTTTCAAATCCTCTCGAAAAATAACCCGCACTTATATCCATGCATAAACATCTTGCGCTTGTGTATTGACGCTTTCCAGGGAACATTTTTGCAGCGTCGCATCATTTCAGGAGCAAAGCAGCTTCAGCCCAAAGCAGGCATGGAAAACATTTCTCAAAACATTTTCCACTGAAAAAAAAAGAATTGCGCATCATCGTTGTTCATAATGTCTTCTCTGTTTTTTAAATTTTTAAAGCCATCTTTCTGTTCTTTATCTTGTTACATTCATACCATTGTTACATTCTTACTAGTCAGACTTTTGTTTAAACGCATTTCGTTCAATATTATCCTCTATATACGCGCTGCAGGACTTTTATCTTCCTTATAAATCCCATAGTTGTTTCGTTTGTTCCACAGTCTGCGTTATTCAAACAAAGCGAACATTGTCGTGGCTAGTTTCAGCAATACTTTCTTGCAGACTTTCTCAACAAACCAATATGTTCAGTACCTTATTACTTTATTGCATATCCTCAGTGCTCTTGTGCTGAAAAAATTTGTTTAATCCCTTACTTACACCTGCTGGCTGTACATGTCGAAAATAAACTGTACATTTGTCTTCCGATTGAAGTTGAAATTTTTGCCTTTCAAAAAGAACGCAAAATGTAAAGCCTCCAATCAGAGCAGCTCAAAATTAGCTTAAGTCCAGCTTAACGCTGTGAAAAGCCGGAGGAGGGAGAGGGCGAGATGACGGTGCATGCATAGCGACAGACAAGCACTCGAGTACAGCTGATCGTGGGGTATCTGAGGACCTGACCGCCCGCCCACGTACGACCTTGCAAATTCAACATTCCCGTGCTCTCGAGTATTACCTACGGCCCCGCAAAATTTTTGGTGGGGAATTTATTATCTCGGGAATCATAAAAGCCAAGAAGCTGAAGTTCTACGGTAATGTGCCCTACCCAAATGCAACCATGCGAATTTAAATTCAGCCTTCCCGCGCGTCCAGTTATCACTTACGGCCCTGTGAATGTTTTAGTGCGGAAAATTATTATCTCGGGAACTACGAAAGCTGGGAATCTTAAATTTTAAGGTGATGCTCCCTGTCAATGTACGACACCCACGAATTTGGATTCAGCCTTCACGCACCCCTTGGTACCATGTGTGGCCCCGAGAATGTTTTGGTAGCGAAATTATTATCTCGTGAACAGCAAAAGCTACAAAGCTGAAATTTTAGCATGGCATCCCCTGTCCACGTACAACTCCGCAAATTTTCAATGTCCCCGTGGAAGTTTTGGCGAGAAAAATTACTGTCTCGGAAGCCAGAAGAATTAGAAAGGCAGAAAAATTCAGGAGGATGTTTCCTGCCTAAGCAGGGGCTTCACTTGCTCGAATACAGTTCCTAAGTATGCCGAAATCTCACGTACGATCACGTGAAAATTCCGCTCCAAAGGGAATTAGGATGTTGAAATTCCGGAACGATATTCACCCTTCAAAGTTTCAAATTCAGCCTTCACATACCGGTGCATCAAATTTTTAACTATTTTTCAACATTTCATCTATTTTTGCACAGACCAAAGTCCAAAGCAGTGATGATCATTAACAAGCAGTCGTTCGGTGGACGGAATTGCACAAAACGCGTGATCACACCGGCCATTCTGATGCGCGCTGCTGTTTATTCCTTCTACTGCTCTCTCTTGTTCTTGCCTCGAGATTGTGTGCGCTAAATCCACATACACCACCCTCCTCCCCACCCCTTCGCCCCACTCTATCCTGCGATATCTAAGGTTCTTTGGACCACGGTGGGGCAGGGCAACCCGTCATAAGCAGGGGAAATTTTTCG